CTTCGGCTACAAATTGCCAATTAGTTGTGGGACCACAGCTGGATCCACAGAAGAGGAACTTTTCTAGCCACATTAGCAAGAAAGCTACATGTTCTCGAGGAGTGACAGACACTTTACCCATATATGCTGCTACATATCCAGACCAACCCCCTATGCTTTTGGTCCTAAAGTCAAATTGGTTCTTGGTGTTCATACTCATAGGGTTAGCCGATGAGGTCACATCTAATCCGGTGATCATGGTGATGTCGATTAAAGTTGGAGTCATCGGCCTTTGGTTGAACAGAAAGGCATTGATGGTGTTGGACCAGAAATAGGTGGCGGCGGCCATCAGAGGTTCATCCTTAGCCGAATTGGCTATGGTGAGGGCAAGCGTTTGGCCGATTCCGATCTCGTCCTAGTGAACTTTCTTACTAGCCGATACGCGCTTGTACCATGTAATCCAGCTCTTCTCGGGTGGGGTTTTCTCAAGTGATGGCCAAGATTTAAAGGTGTTCTTCCAGTGACCTAGATCTGGGTTGACTAATCTGAAAGAAATCCTATTTGTTTCACCAATAATGAACTCGGTGGGATCAAGGTTGCCAATTGGACCGAGAAAATAATGATTCTCGTGAGATAGGCTTGGAATTGCGATCTGATTGGAAAGATGCTGCGAATCCAAAAGAACCGAGAAGAAGAAAACAAGATGAGGAAAGGGGAAATCAATCCGATGCGAAAAAAAAGGAGATCTAGCCGATGAGAACTCACCTCAGCATACTCTGGCCGGAGATGAAATTGCCTTGGGATCGCCTTTTGCGTCGAAGGAATCGCCGGAGAGACAGAGGGCAAAATTTGCTTCAGCGGTGAAAACGGAAGAAGACGGTGTGAGATTTCTCGGGGGTAACGGTTAGTATTTAAAGCACTGGAATAACGGTCGGGAAACGGTAGAGTGCGAATCTTGCTCGGAGTTGATATATGGCAAATCCGAAACATTATCAAATGTTCCGGACTTGGGGGGCATGTGTTAATGACCAAATTTGGTAATATCAGCATCGGAAAGGAAGATTAGATCGAAGCGGAATCAAAGATAAGGATTATCGCGGAAACAGAGTAAGAATCGGCTGGAGTCCGGATCGGCTATGATTGGATCGGCTAAGTTCGAGTCAGACTTGGTTAAGTGGTGCAGCCGATTCCGACAATACGACTTGGTGTACAACATCGGGTTGGGTTGATATGCTTCAAGATGATTGCCGCGTATGGATAGAGTCCTGAGAAGGCAATTGTATCTATTAATTAGGATATTTTATATAATTTCCCTAGAGATATGTTTGGGCAAAAGTCTGCTGTAAAGACTTATGGTATATTAGAGTTTGTTAGAGATAAGAGTTGTGTCCGATATGGACATAGTTTGTAATTTTCGGGTATAAATAGACCCCAAACCCCATGTAATCAATTAACACACACGTTCAATACAATCTCGGCGCATCGCCACCCTTTTTGCTTTAGTTTTATTTCGACGAGTTCTTGCTTTCGGGTTGAGCTGCATCGGTTTCGATCTTCAACAAGAGGTAAAACTTGTTATGACGGCTTGTGTTCTCGGGATTAGTGCTTCCATCTTTATGATACTCTAATCTTGTTTATGTAATTCATCGAGTTATCATATATCTTACATAATCTTTAGCAATATCGCTATTTAACCTACAATCGGCTAACATCTGTCGGTAGAAGGCAGCCAATTAGGTTAAATATCGATGTTGATTTAGACTATATAAGATATCTACCACTCTATGAAACTACTACCGGCTTGATTGTCTAGATATTGTTCTTCTTTTCATACTTAATGCTGCATCAGTTGAGTTTGATCTATTAAGTCGTGCTTGGAATATCAATCTCTAGCCTGCCTTCTGGTTGCCGATTAGGGTAGTATCAGGGTTTCAGCCGATCTTATCTGATTTAACTATATTTACTCTATATGCTTCATTGATATGTTAAATCTGCCCTCTACGTTAAGATCTTGTTGAATTTAAGTATATTAGGCTTTTGTTTGATATATTTTACTTGCTTTAATATCTTAGTATAGAGTGGTTTCGGAGTATTAGCCGATATATGCTAGACCTATCTGATCGGCTATGATATGAATATATATAGTCCTGTTATTAACATATATTTCGATCTAAGTGATTTATACTGTCTCGGCATGGCGACCGATCTATCCCAATCACTTGATTTAAGTATATATCGATATAAGGGGTATATATCGTTAACATCTACAGCCGATCGAGTAGATTTAGTTCTTTCTTACTTATTCATGACTGCCGATCGATACATATATGACATCGGCTCAAAGATAAATGATATGCCATCGGCACTTAGCCGATCGGCTATCGTTTATAGGTTTAATCGCGGTTTCTTTGTCTTTATTTCTTGTTGATTGTAGAATCAAATCAATTGGCACGCTAACATACCCAAAGGCGAGTTTGGACCTGCACTGGAGTTAAGTAGATCTCCTAGGCCTCGTGTTTTTCGTCAACACACATCGAATATACGGACACACATTTGAAGTATTAAACGTAGACTAATAACAAAATAAATTACAGAATCCGCCTGTAAACTGCGAGAAGACTTTATTAAGCCTAATTAATCTATCATTAGCAAATGTTTATTGTAGCACTACATTGTCAGATCATGGAGCAATTAGGCTTAAAAGATTCGTCTTGCAATTTACACGCAATCTGTGTAATTAGTTATTTTTTCATTTATATTTAATACTTTATACATGTGTTCAAACATTCGATGTGACAGGGTAAAAAATTTTGCCAGGTGATCTAAAAAGGCCCTTATAACTCTCTAAAATTTTTTCTAAGAGCTAAATCTAGTAAAGATGGTTACCAATATTAGGCCTGGTTTAGTTCCCAAAAACATCACATCAAATCTTTGGACACATGTATAGAGCATTAAATATAGAGTGAAGTGCATCAGCGGTCCCTAAACTTGTGCGGATGTGTCATCTAGGTCCCTAAACTCTCAAAATGCATTTTTTTATCCCTAAACTTGTCTTAGGTGTCATATAGGTCTAAACGGGCACCGACCTGCTCCATCCGCTGACGTGGCATGCCATGGTAGCGTCTACGTGTCAGTGGGGACTCACATGTCAGTCATATTTATAAAAATAAATATATGATATGATAACAATATTTACAGAAAGAACCTTACATGTTTTAAACTTACTCTAATCAAATCCTGTACGTGCTAATGGAGCGGAGCCCACCTGTCATAGGCACAGGGAGAAAGCAGCAGCAGCCGCAGAGTTCGCCGGCCGGCGTTCCTTCACGACGATGCCGTTGGCGAACGGCGATTCTTCGGCCGACACAACCACAAGAAGAAATGCTGAGGACTTCCTTGCGATCCTGTTGAAGGTGGTCTCGTCGCCGGAGGTGGCCGGAATCGATGCCAGTGGTGTCGCGAGCGGTGGTGGTCTTCAGTACGCCTGTGCATGTAGAGTCCCAGCCCGATTTAGTGCAAAAAGATGCATGCATGCGAGTCTAGCAGGTCCCTGGGTGCTCACTGGAACTTGATTGCGGCATGGCGAGGTCTGGGTAACAGCGGCAATGGAAAAGACAGCCCTGCGGTGGTGGATAACGTCGGCTTCACGGCGACGGCTCGCTTGAGCGGTGGAATGCTTAGAGAAGGTGCATGGGTGGTTAGTGAGGTCCCTAAAGAGTTGCATGCACGATTAATTAGTCCGTGGCTCACCGGGGAGAGAGGGATTGGCGATGGCACTCGGCGACCGGAGTTGGAGAAGATGACAGCGATATCCCTCGTCTGTGCACGATTCTTAAAATTTCTTGAGGGCTTTTGGCCATGATGGTGAGGCGATGACTTTGGCGCGATGGCTTGGCTTGAGATGGACCATGTCGGTCGGAACAGCGACGACATCATGGCGGCGGCGCCTGGTGCGAGTTCCGGAGCTCTCGTGGGCAAGGTCGCATTTCCGTTGCTGCAGTGGATAAAACGAGATGGGGTCAAAATGAGATTTGCTCGGCATGATGTGGGAAGTTTGGAACGGGAAAGATTTGACGATGGAGACGACTCGTCGGCAACAGCAAGCGTCATCTTCTTCGCGATCGACGACGAGAATGTGGGCGACGGAGAGGCATAGGGCTCTCTCTCGTCCGAGTAGTTTGGCTCCAGAAGAATGTAGAAGAGAAGGCGACACGTCTGAGGAAGAAAAGGGAGGAGCTTAGCGTTGCCACGTCCCGGCCACGCGTGACGCGTCGAGCACCGCCGGCGTCCCTCTTTCCTGCTCTCTCTCTCTCTCTCAGCTCCCAGGGCGGTGGAAATATGGCTACTAGAGAGCTGACATGTGGGTCCCCACTGACCCGTAGGCGCTACCGTGGATGCCACGTCAGCGGATGGAGCGGATCGGAGCCCGTTTGGACGTATATGATACCGAAGACAAGTTCGGGGACCAAAAATGCATTTTGAGAGTTTAAGGACCTAGATGACACACCCGCACAAGTTTAGGGACCGCTGGTGCACTTTACTCTTAAATATATATTAAAAAAACCAATTGCACAGTTAGAGGTAAAACGCGAGATAAATCTTTTGAGTTTAATTAGTCTATGATTAGCCATAAGTACTACAGTAACCTACATGTACTAATGATGGATTAATTAGGCTCAAAAGATTTGTCTTGCCGTGTCCAAGCGTGTCATGAAATTAGTTTTTTTCATTCGTGTCTGAAAAATCCTTCTATCATCCCGTCAAATATCCCATGTAGCTTCTAAATCTTTTTCGCGAACTGTACAGGCCTTGCTACGTGGTTCGTTTTGCCCTTATCGATGGTTATCCATTGGAGCATAGCCAGCCTAGTAGTTGTAGATACAACTTGTAGTTCCTGCACCGTCCGGCCTTGCGCTGCAGGGCAAAACCAACGTAGACACGCAACCATTGATGAGCCCAGACCCGCTGCTTTTCATCGGCCACTGGAGCCTCAGCCCCCAAACAGCACGAATCTCGATGCCGCTATCTCCGCCGCGGATTCTCTCTCCGATTTCTACCGCAGTTTCCGCGGAAAAACCCCCGTGTTCTTCTTTTCTCGTCCTCCTTCCTTCCGCCGTCTCCTTCTCCTCTAGCCTACTACTACGCCGCTCGCTGCTCTCCTCTCCTCCTCCTCGCTCCGCCCTCGATCGGCCGTGTCTCCGTCTCCCCGCTCCGCCGCCGCTCGCTCGTTCGGGACTTTCCTCTCGCATTGGGTCGACGGTGCCCGCCCGGTAACGCGCCCTAATCTAGTAATCTCCTCCGATCGATCATGTCGCTTCTTGGGCTCTCTCTCGTAGTCTTGACTGATTTTGGCCGGTGGCGGCTAGGGTTTTGAGGGTTTATTCGCAGCCGCACGTAGCCAGGACGCCCTCGTACTCGTAGGGCCTCTTTTGACCGTTTCTTGGCATCCGATCGTTCCGGTTATTTTATTGCTAACTTCTTCTGTTTATTCTTTCATTAATAAGGTATTTGATTTTGGTTATTGACATTCTTTCTTCTGTCCCCCCCGCCCCCAATTTCAAATTGATTTCTTGTTTCCTTTTAAGCCTAGTTTTTTTATTTTTTTTTTCGCATTCTATTTTTCTTTATTATTTCGAGATTTCCCTTCCTCATTTATTTCTAAAGGTTGTGCATCATCGTGTCATTGCTGTCCATTTTCCCTTTTCTCTTTAATAATTATCTTGTCTGGATTTCTCCTACTCGAATAATCCATGGGGGTTTGATCATTTTGATGTTCTGATGTCATATGAATTCCAGGTTAATTAATCTGTGACGCGTGAAGACTTGGATCAACGAAAACTTACCAGCAGATCATCTGCTGGCTGAGGGTAAGAGCAAGCAACGCTTTTCTCGCCATGCACCTCCCCTAATTTATTTCTCTCTAAATTAGGTCCTCTTCATTGGGAAAAAAAAGTCTGTCATCGAAAAAAAAGAGAGAAGAAATTGGTCTTGTAACTTAGGGTGTGTTTAGTTCGTGAAAAGAAAATTTTTGGGTGTTACGTCAGACGTTTGACCGGATATCGACATTAATGAAAAAACTAATTTCATAACTCACCTGAAAACCGTGAGACGAATTTATTAAGCCTAATTAATCCGTTATTAGCACATGTGGGTTACTGCAGCACTTATGGATAATCATGGACTAATTAGGCTCAAAAGATCCGTCTCGTGATTTCTATGCAAACTGTGCAATTAGTTTTTTTATCTATATTTAATGCTCTATACATGTGTCCAAAGATTCGATGGGATGTTTTTGGGAAAAAAATTTTGGGAACTAAACAAGGCCTTATTTGGGCTCGATTTCGAATTTGACTTTACACATGGACGAATGCTTCGCTTTTTGCAAGGTCCACCATAGTTCTGTTGCTTAGCTGACGTGTTTGGGGTTGGTACCTGTGACGTATGGGTGATTCCATCACTTGGCAGTTATTATTTGGACACATTCAGTGGCCATTGACCCAAAAGAAATTTTAGAGCCCGGACAAATCGAACTACATATTAAGTGTGTTTGCTATGAAAAAACACTACTCCCTCTGTTTCATATTGTAAGACTTTCTAGCATTGCTCATATTCATATAGATGTTAATGAATCTAGGCATATATGTGTCTAGATTCATTAACTTCTATATGAATATGGGCAATGCTAGAAAGTCTTACATTGTGAAACGGAGGAAGTATTATTAATCTCTATGACAACGTCGAAATTCCATTGCGCATTTGACGCCAATGGGCACACCAAACACTATTTTTTGTGCTCGTGTAAGGGGAGCTTTAATGCGCATGTGGCTGCGTGGGGATGCGCCCGCACGCGTGGCTTTCGACCCTTTAGTCTCTTCCTCTTTCCTTTTCCCTCTTTTTACGTATAAAGTATATGCATACGTATATATAAAATATGTATATATATAATTTATGTATACATATTACATTTTTTATGTTTAAAAAAATATACACATATACAAACTTTGTATACATATGTATACAATACATATAAAGTTTGTATACCTACATATTAAAAAACTGAAAAAAAAACACGAGAGAAACGAAAAAACATGTATACAAGTTTGTATACGTACATACTAAAAAACGAGAGAAAAATAAAAAAAATGGAAAACCGGAAAGAAACTGAGAAAACCGGGAAAAAACCAAAAAAGGGCACGTGGCCCCTTCCCACCGCGCGGTTCAGCTGCCCCATCTCTGCGGCAAGCCACGTGGTTGTGCCGCGCGGGAGAGGGCGCGCGCAGCCAACCGCCAATTAGCCTTTTCACTCGTGAAACGCTTGGTTTAATTGCTTGGATGTGTATCGGGCCTGGGGCCTATGGCGTATGGGTGCTTCCCTCGTGAAACGCTTGGTTTAATTGCTTGGATGCGTATCGGGCCTGGGGCCTATGGTGTATGGGTGCTTCCCTCACTTGATAGTTACTTCCTCTCATTTTAATTAATTGACATCTTTGACTTTACTATTTAAACTTTGACCACTAATTACTCATAAATGGTTAGACTAAAGTGAATGAAAATTTCATGCTTATATTTTGGATATAATACATTTTAAGAACATGACATCATTTTTAGTGTTTGTAGATATCTTGTGAATTGGATTGGTCCTAGTGAGAAAGTGAATAGTGCCTGCTGTCCATTATTTAAAAATGGAAGGAATATTATTTGGGCGCTTCCAGTGGCCGTTTACCAAATTTTTTTTTAGAGCCTGAGCAAATCAAACTACATTACTGTTTGCTATGAAAATCGCTATTAATAATCCCTACGATAACACCGAAGCTCCATCGTGCATTTGATGCTACTGGGAACACCAAGTGCATGTCCCAAGCATGGCTGGTGAAACGCTTGCTTCAAGTGCTTGGGTGTGTTCTGTTACTTATGGTTGGACAATTCAATATCATGAACTTCTAGAAGTTTGACTAGGAGATACTGTTTGGAGCTCCACATTTGAAAATGAATGCTTTAGTGGTGCACACGATGCACTCTGTAACTTTCAGAAATTAAGCTTGAAACTGCACTATTTCCACCACTGTTATTCTGGCATGGATGTGGGTGTTAAATCTGACTTGGATCTGACTCTCTGGTTTGGCACATATTCTGCGAACATGACAAATACTTGTACGTGGATACAGGTGATGTTCTGCTCAGATTCTTGCAAAATAAATATCTGAGTAATCTCAAGGTTTCACAAGAAGTGTCCCCCAATACCAACTTATTCCAGCTAGCTATATCCTTGCAGTTGTAAAGTGGTTGCCATATAAATCCTCATCATCATGTGTTATCGATGAGGACAACACTTGGGAGTAAATTGGTTTCTTTGTGGTGAACTATTCTCTGTACCACATGTAATAGATGAGAAAAACATTTGGGTTGATTTATCTTTCTATTGAATTTTTCAATATGCTAGGTTCCAGAAAAATAATCCAGTACAATCATTTAGCTTTCTCTAAACTCCTAGGTTTTTAGAGTTGCGAGACTTCAAATTACAATTTACTAAACAGAGTACTTAGCAGAGTAACATACTGGTAGTTCTGAAATTTTTCTGTGCTGTTTAATACGTCTTGTAACTTTTAACTGAATATTTCTTATTCTTGACAGCTTTATTCCGGAATTGGATGTATACACCAGATCAGCCTCATCTGCATCGTAGAAGCAAGAATTATTAGTCCAATCTTGTGTCAACGATTGACGATTAAATGGGTCCGGACAGACTGCCATTTGGACTTGGTTTTGATAGAGTACAAGCATCAGGGGGATATAGATGCTCTGAGCAGTATGAATGGCAACGTTTGGCCCTTCGTCAAAGAGAAGCAGCAAGGGAGAAACCCCACTGTGGTGCAACCCTGAATTACCCTTTGCTTTCACATCGCAGGTTAGCATCATTTGCATCAATTTATGGAGAAAATTGCATGTCTACCATCGCATAAGATTGGATTCGCTGGAATACCATCACTTAAATTGGCTTCGCTAGAATACCATTCTCAATCAGGACATTCGCCAAAATACCATCATGGACGGAAATACCCTTGGCCCTTCTTCCTCCCTCCAATGCTAGAAGAGCTTGCCGGTGGCCCTCCCCGTCGTCTTCATCTTCCATCCTGGCCGCCACGCCAGGGCTCGGGGAGGACGCAGCGGTGTGGAAGTTGTAGGAGATCCACGCGCGCGGGGGAGCTGGAGGAGGCCATCGTCGCCGTTCCCTCGTTGCGTCGGAGTTGAAGGAGCCCACCACCGGCCGCTCCTCATCTTGCCCATTGGCTGCCGCGCACTTTGCCACTGCTGCTGTTCCCTCATTGCGCTGGATTTGAAGGATGCCGGGGGCATCATGTGCGGATTTGGAGATGGCTAGCCATCGTGACAAGGCTCGAGGGTGCTGGCGCAGTGGCCGGGATGGAAGGCGGAAACGACGGGAGGGCTGCCGGCAAGCTCTTCCAGCATTGGAGGGAGGAAGAATAAGGGCCAAGGCTATTTCTGTCCAGGATGGTATTTTGGCAAATATGCCCTGGTTGAGAATGATATTCTAGTGAAGCCAATTTAAGTGATGGTATTCTAGCGAATCCAATCTTATGTGATGGTACATATGCAATTTTCTCCAATTTATGGTCGTCATGTTGTTAGTTTCTCTATCCAGTAGTAGTTTCACTAATGCAATTTATGATGCAGAGACAGGATAGAAGATTCTGTTGCTGCTACAGAAATTCCACATCAGTTTAGAGGACATGATTTGCTGCATAGTCATGGCAAAACTTTGAATGATAGAAGTTGTAGCCATTCTTTTAGGGAGGAAGAAACTAAGGATCTTGTGTCCTCCTCACATGATGATGCTGAAACTGAGAAGAATTTTGCTATATGGGACCAACCTCTTGATCGAACTGGACTCCTGGAGTCAAAGCGACACAGGCGCAGCTCCTCCCCTAGATATTGTATGAAGAGGTGTGTATATGTTACCAAACTATTGACATTCATAAATTTGGTTAATCCTGCCATATTTTTTGTTGAGTCGATAAAATTATAGCAAAAAATATAGATTTAAGAGAGATGACCGTATTTAGGAATTAGAATATCCATCCCTACCACTTTGAAGTATGACCTGACAAGAGGGCTCAACTTGTAGCCTCACAAAGCATCACGCAGCATGTTTCACCAATGGAAGCAAAACATGAGTTGCATACGTTGCCACTTACTGTCCAAGCGACTGACTATCTCCTGCCAAGGTGCTACCACTGGCTAGATTGCCCCGTGACATGCAAGCCATTTTCTAGGGTCATGACTGTAACTGTTATTGCTCTTGCCACTGCAAGCCTGCTTTGAAGAAAGACTTTTGGAGCTTTGTTCTTTTCTGCTTCCATTTGTGTAAAGACATGAGGCTGCAGGTGGGGCCCTCTTGTTATGTTATCACTGCTAGCGATGGAGATTGTAAAGTCTAAAATTTGTAGTTTTGCGGTAGAGAAGTACTCTAGTTTTGCAATATAGTTTCTCTAAATCTAGTTTTGCCATAATTATATGTGATTTTGTGAAATTTACTCTTTTATTTCCCACTTTGATGTTCTCGCATGTTGTATTGGTCAATATTCTGCATTTTATGATCTGTGCATTCCTTAAAGATTTCCTTCCTAACAAAATAAATATGTGCACCATGTTATGATCTATCTTCTGTTATTACAGTTATCCCTTTGGAAATAAGATTGATGGATATCATGGTGAAGGTCGTGCTTGTCCTCGCGATTCATCAAAATGGGGCAACCATAGTCTTTCTCCTGATCATGCTCCGACAAGTTGTCTAAGGTAATATTTTTTAGGTGCAGATCTAGATTTTTCGGTGGCAGCATGCACCTGTTTATGTGTATTACTATTATCTGATTCAATTGTTTGTTCCTTAATCTAGGACTGAGGGAGAAGTTCCTTCCCTCAATCGTGTGTCTGAGTATGCAAAAGGTGCAGATGGACATATGCGTACAACAGAAAGACTTGGGGACTTCTTTTCATCTAATCAGGGGAGTTGCACACAAAATAGAAGTTATCAAGAAGTTCAACGTCTGCCAACTGAAGTTAACTTCCCAAATGCCCATTTCTCAGCGATAGATAAAGCAAGGCATCGATCTTACATGGAAAAGTTCCAGACTTGCAAGAAGCATCAGGGCACCTGTTCAAAAGATTTGATGTTTAATATTTCTGATCACTCCTTGGTTGGTCGAACATGTCATAGGTTTGAAGTAGGGAGAGCTCACACCAGTAAGGCATTTGATGAATTTCATGCATTCCATCATGAGCAACTTCACCAATCTCCACGTGATAATTTTAGGGACCAATTGGGTAGCAGTCGAAATTTCAGGAATGTTCATAAAGGAAAGATGTCAAGAAGGCAATGCACAAAACATGATCTCAAGAAAAAGAATTCCAATGTTGCTTTTCATAGTACGTATGGGAGAAACAGTGACCGGAAATGGCATGGCAATCATCTGGATGGACATAGAGCTAAGAGGAATATGCCTTCTGAAAATCAGTCTAAAGAATCCTGCTATCCGAACATGAAGGATTGGCAATCATATTCTCATGGTGATGTACGCCAGAGTGGTGATAATCAGGAGGGAAATACCAAAAAAATCAAGAAAGGAGGTCAAAATGGAGAAAAAGGGAACTATCATCGAAACAACAATATTCCAACTGTTGTATGTAGTGGCTCAAAGTCTAATGAGAATTCAGGTTTGTTAAGTCCTAAGTGTAGAAGTAAAACCATTATGTCATCAAATGGACCAAAACAAAGTGAAGGAAGTGAGAACATTAAGTTAGAGTCTGATAAGAAGCCTAGTTTGGTTGTTTGCACAAAAAAAACAGAAGACATGAAGAGTGATGAGGTTTCGAATGGTAAACTACAAGATGCTCCAGTCACCTATGTGGAGAATGGTGTGAAAGAATCAGATAATGCTTCTCCGTCTGAACTACTTCGTGATTGTTTGATTATATGGAGAAGATTGAAGAAAGATAATTGTGCTGAAGCTGAAAATGTAAAAAAAACCAATACAAATCGGACAGTGCAAACAAGCAAGGTATCTGTGAGCGAAAGATTGAGAAATGGAAGACCTAGCTCAGGATTTGATGATGAAAACAGCAGCACATCAGGGAGTGCTTCTGTTAGCTCAGAAAGCGATGATGAAAGTAATAGTCCATCTGAGGACTCCAAACAATGTAGAGGTGTAATGTCATCCAGTGAAGCACAAAAGTGTAGCAAAGGAAGAACTGAGAGAGAGTCAGAGGAACCCTTCAAATCCCTTAGTGGCGACAATCGCATGAAAAGCCCACAAAATACAATAGCTGAGAAAGGACTAATGTTTTATCAGGATGTTCCACCAGAAACAAATCCTAGTGAAGTTATGCAGCAGAAAGAACAAGATGACCTTTCATGTTGTTGGAATGGCTGTTCTGATACTAGCACGAAACCAGTTGCTGATTCTCATCCGGAAAGTAGTGTGCATCAGAAGTTTTCTCAGCAGGGAGCAATTGAAGGTCATTCCAACGCAAGGAGCAGACATGAATTGGTTGTTGGCTGTGACATTGAAAATACACTGGAAGCTGATGGTGCCAAATCAGGTGAGCAATCAACTGTTCCGGAATTGCTGGACAAAAAAGCTGCTGTTCTTTGCTCAATGGATGATGATAGTGTGAAGGTAGTAAATGTGTCAGCGTGTTCAAATCAGGACAGTGACACTACTCCGTGCGGTGTGACAAAATTGGATAAAGGAACTGCAAACAAGTTCCTAGAGAAGCCTGTCAATCTTTCCACAGGAAGTAACTTTAGAGTCATCCAATGGGGCGCCGTGGATTGCAACATTGTGAGAATCAAACAAGAGAATTCACAACATGCAGACTCTGAACAGGATACACATCATAAAGAGAGTGGGGAACCATCACAAGCTCTCAAAGTGGCATCAAACCAACAAATACCCCATCAGTTTGATTCTGACAGAGATAATCCTTGTACTACTAGACAAGCTGATTGGGATTCATGTTCCTCGATACCAGACTTAAATTGCTTGCCTAATATGAATACAGATGATGAGCTAGAGCCAGTTGAGAATGTGACTTTTCAGGTAAATGAGGATGGTACAAATCCCCAGAATAATATCAAGAGTCTTTCAGCTTCCTCTTGTAAGCCCACTCTGCAGAAAGAACAGTCTAAGCAACCTGAGCCAATTGAACTTACTGGAGGAATTTGCGAAAGGAAAGATGGAAATAGGTTCCAGTCACCTAATTCACATAGTGGACCATCTCAGCAAAGCATAGTTGAAGAAAGTAGCATGTCCATTGATGTATTCAAGTGTAACCTCTGTGAATTCATAAAAAATATCATAAAGCCATTGTGGGAAGATGGGCTGTTATCCCGGGAAGTCCACAAAATTATAGTGAGGAAGGCTGTGGAAAAAGTGACCACCGTGTTGGGCTCAAAGGTCCCTCTGACAGAGATAGATGCCTGTAGATTTTTGTTAGAAGAATCTCAGAATCTAGAGAAACTCGTTCAGGTATTATGCCAATGCTCTCCCTGTTTTTATTTGATATCTTCTGTTCCATGGCCATGACTGGTAATTTAGGTGCATTTTACAATGAGCTATAATTTTGTGTTGCAGGGTTACTTAGATTTATACGTGGGAAGGGAAGTTCTTAAAAAGAAGCACGACCGATAATTCTGGATCAGTCCTGCAAATCACAGTAAATATTTGAGCCCTTGTGCTGATATTAATTTCAATCGTCAGTTTTCATTGCTGATCAAACAAACTCTCTTGTTTCTGCAGGAAGCTAACAAGTACAGTAGGAAGCAACTTTTTTTTTTCAGTTTAGATCGGTGAAAGGAAAGATCAAGTGACAAATCTTCTATCCCTTCTCATATGGGGCATTTTTGAACACCCTATCTTATTCCTTGCTTCTAGTTCCCACTTCCATGCACCTGCTAAACATATCAATATCTAATCTATGAAGTGCATAATGCTATGTTGTACTAATTCTGTAAATGTGACGCACCAGCTTTTGGTGGGTGAATGATGGCGCACTTTCTTTTCAGCAATGTGAAGTAGTATCATTAACCACCTCATCTTTTCGCTTATGCATATCAGCTAAAATTTGAATTTTCAACCTTAAATTTAAAGCTGATTTTGAGGTTTTTTTATCGAAGTTTATTTTTCTGCCTTTGCTTTTAGATCGCTAAGAATATGTATATAAAAATTTTATTCATAAATTATTTTTCGTTTACAAATATGCTGTTTCGGTTATTCAGCGAAACGATGGCTCCAGTAATGCATGCTTTCGGTTTTCCGCTATGGAAAAAGAAAGGGAAACTGCAAAGTGGACTTTGTGTTGTGATGGTGCAGATTGAGGGGTTGTTTGGTTTATATACTAACATTGCCTAGGGTTGCCATAGTTTTCTTGCCAACCTTGCATAAGGTTAGACAAACAAATTTGGCACCACACTTTGGCTAGCAATCTATAACATTGCCATACTTTTCTGAGACAATGACATGTGGGACCAAAGTGCTAGAAAAAGAATCTTCCACAAGTGTGGCAATGAACCAAACGTCTGGCTAACTTACTCAAAGCTGCCTAACTTGAGGTGTGGCAAAGTGTGGCAACATGTGGTCACGAACCAAACAACCCCTGAACCTACTTTTCTGGTGGTGCGTTATTTCCGCAGTTGTCGATCAATTGTATTCTTAAAGAATTTCTATCTGGCAGGTTCCATAATCCAGAGTGCGGCTTTTGCTGTTCTAGATTCTTACTGAGGGCTTGTTTAGATTGATGTCTAGCCTTATTTTTTCAATTATGCTTAAACTTATCAGCTAAAATTTAATTTTCAACTTTAAATTTGGAGTTGATTTAGATGTTTTTTCATCGAAGTTTATTTTTCAGCATTTGCTTTTAGGTCGCTAAGAACATGTATATAAAAGTTTTATTCACAAATTAATTTTCGTTTGTGAATATGCTGTTTGGCTTATTCATAGAATAAGCTTATGAATAAGCCAACCGATGGAATTTGTCATTTTAAACCATATCATTTTTTTTAGAGTTGCTAAATATGTGAATCCATTTAGTTTCTTACCAAACTTTAATAAATGCATAAAAACTCCTGTCAAAATTTTGGTATTGCAAAAATTTGGTAAGGTTTATTTTTGCTTGAACAGCTCCTAAACCTCTAGTAAACATATTGGTATAATGAGTGAAATTATAGGACCTCATCTTTTCACCTATGCTTATTCTTGTCAACCAATATTTGAACTTTCAGTCTTAAATTTAAAGATGATTTTGAGATTTTTTTTTCATTAAAGTTTATTTTTTCGTTTTTGCTTTCTCTCTCTCTCACACAAGTTTTCTTTATAAATTATTTTTCATTTACAAATATACCGAAACGATGGGGTTGATAATGATTACTCATGAAAACAGTGTGAAAGTGTCAGTAAAATATGGAGAACTGGGGGTACTCGGCAAACTGCTTCGAAGATTAAAAAACAAATTGCCATATTGCAAACGGGATATACTAACATATTAACTGGTGGATAATGGATATCATTGATGGGCCAGGAGACTCGGGACACTGGACACACCAGGATGATAAGCACGAGAATGGTAAAAACGATCACGTCATTTGTTTTATTTCTAAACTTCATTAGACTTGAGTTAAGCAAGTTTGACTATTCATAATAATATTTTTTTTCTTCGCCAAGGTGACATTATTTCTTAACTATACCATCAACGCGCTTATCACCATGATATTTCATGCTAATATAGAGGTATAGATTATCGTAGCTATGCTTCAGAAAATATACTACTCCAAAACTTTCTTCTATATTAGTATTACTTAAATAGCTTTCTTCTATATTTATTATCTTTATATCCCTCCATTTCAAAATATAGCCACCTAAAACCGGATTAGACATATTCTAACACAATGAATCTAACATAGTACTAGTTTATAACTAATGTGATAAGCTAATTTTTGAACCGGTGGCCTTTTTGTTTATGCTTAGGTTTATTGGCTTAGATTGCTTTTGGCTTATATTACCTTCGTCCCAGAATATAAGAAGTTTTATAGTTGGACATAATTATTAAAAAAGTAGATAGAATTAAATAGGGAGACGTTGTGATGGTTGAGAAGTAGAGGTAAGTGGGAAAAAGTAAGTGATGGAGGGTTGTTATTGGTTGGAAATTGAATGTTAGTGAAGATATATTTTTGGACGAATCATGAGTGCTAAAAATTATTATATTTTGGGACGGAGAGTATGATTTATAAACCAATGAATTTGAAGTGCTAAGTGTAATGGTGGAGTCTACGTTCAACCTAGTTTTTAGCTTAATAATATGAAAAGTGAAATGAAAGTATCGTTAATTTGTTTAGGTTCAGACTTTTTTTGACTCATAAGTTGGTGTATACGCCTAAACAAAGAGGGCTTTAGTGAGTGATGTTATCGAGGCTAACAATAAGGGGCATTTAACTCTTAACATTTGCCACTTCGTATAAAAAAGTTTAATCCCTCTCGTAAAATCTCCTCTCATCAAGTGGCAAATCTTTTGTCACTCTATTCAACTAAATTAATATAGAGAACCAGGATTCACAAAACGATGAAATCCGATTGGATTTCGCGAAAAATCAACGTCTCGACATGGCTCGGCAATAGTTCTCTAAAATTTCCATGGTTTCCATCCAAATTCAAATTTAATTTGAGAAAAAGGATTTTTAAAAAATCCTATAAATAGTATGATATTAATATAACCTGTTGGTATATAATTTTTTTAAAAAGTTGAATTCCACATATGTTTACTTTGTTCAATAAATTATATGGAGGTGTCCGCATGCTAGAAGCTAGAATAAAACCTAGTTTTAACCTTTAGACCTTATGTACTGGACTCTAAACTTGTACTAATGGACTTCAATTTAGGTGGCGTGCATTCTATTTGCCTAATGTTTGGTGATTGATGCCGAGATGCATATTGAATTGTGCGTGATATGTCATATGTGCTCTAAATTATCGCCTTTTATGAGTATGTATTGTATATCGTCTGTAGCTTAATGTCAAGTTATCAAATTTATAGGAGAGGGAATGCCAAAAGTTTTAGATTTCCCCCCAAATGTTTAATCATTTTTTTTCACTATTTTCTACATTTTTAGGAAACAAAAATAAATTTGAAATTCCTTACCAGTTTGTCAACAAAATTGATCAGTTCTCGATACAAACCAAACGTTTTTTTCACTTCGTTTGCACTTTCGATTGCCGATCGAAATTTCGAGATAAATGAATTCAATTTTTTTCCCACAAAATTTGTTTGGAATCTATCGATTTTCGATTGGATTTCACGAAAACCAATGTTCCGCTAGTGTCGGCATAGTAACTGGTATCAAAATTGTGAACTCTGCTCCGAACTAAGTGTACGACTCAGGCCCAGTCCTAGAGCAGGTCAGTCAGGTCGCCCCGGACGTTTGGGGCATCTATAATTGTATATATGCCATACTATATGGTAATCGAAGCATTAGACTGCTGCTCTATTTTCAATTTGAAGACTTAATTAACTGCAGCCCACGTAACAATGACATGGTGAAAAAAAAAACATGGCCAGCTAGCTCCAATGCCCGTGAGGCCGTGACACAGCCATTTTGTCAAATTGCCAATGGCTTTGATTGATCAAGTGCTACTAATGGAATACCCTGTTCATACATGCATGATGCAATATTTATTTTGTAAAAAAAAAAAAAGCTAGACGACATGTTGCAGGAAAGGCCCTTTGGCACATGGAATAACCGCACAAGAATAGTCTGTTCATCCGCTTATGTTAGAAGATAAGTCTGTTTACGAGAGGTACTTCTTAATTAATATGATCCTCATAATAATTGCTCCCTGTTTCAACATTCTAGCAATCAACTTTTTTTTTTTCAAAATACTTCTTGTTCTTACGATTCACATTTAGACAAGTTTTTCACTTACTACCCTTCATTAATACAACCATACTGCTCCAATGCTAAGTTTATTTGGGCGTGTTCCCAACCCTTCTTCTTGTTTTTTCTCCGCATGTACACTTTCCAAACTATTAAACGGTGTGCGTGTTTTTTTAAAAACTTTCAATAGATGTTTTAAAAATCATATTAACCAATTTTTAAATTTTTTTTAAGCTAATGCTTAATTAATTCGTACGCTAATCCATTCTCTTTTTTTTTCAGGAGGTGAGGGTTCCCAACCCCACCAAGAACACAGCCTAAATTTTGATATTTATGATGTAATTAACGTGTACTAATGTAATTTGCCACACATCCTGGTTTATTACTGCTATGAGATGTGCTACAACGACAAGTAAACTAAAACGGATGTAGTAATGTAATTTGCCACACATCCTAGTTTAATTTATTTCCGATTAATTAAATATCTACTTTACGTTATAATGAAAAAAGAAAATGTTTTATAGGAACTTCACGGTTATATATCGCCCAGAACGCCTGAAATGTTAGGACCCTAGAAAGCAGGGATTAAGATTATACCTTTAATGACACCATACCTTTATCGGTGAACCTAAGAGCTCATCAAGCCCACATGTCAGTGATAAAATACACTAGCAGGTTAGAGGGGCTGATCTAGAACGATTTTGCTATATATTTATCGACAAATTTTCTTCTAAAAATTTGACAGATGTAATTATAGTACAATCATAGTGTAATTACACTGTAACTTGCATGTAATTACACTGTAACTGTAACTATAGTGTAACTTGTATGTAACTTTCAAAAATCTTTCTGTAATATATTATTTCGGTAAAATGGAGGTTGTGGGAACAAATCCTTACACATATGTGTGTGCTGTGATTTTTTTTCTCAACAAAATAAATCTTGTAATAGATTTAACGATTTAAAATTATGTGAAACTTATATATAAGTTATATTGTAGTTACATGCAAATTATAGTGTAATTATATATAAGTTACAGTATAATTACACTATGTTTATAATATAATTATATATGTCAAATTTTTAGAAAAAAATTTATCGACGGATAAATGTATAGGTGTTCCCGATCTAGAAAGCAGTGTTGTGTACTTGTGTTGACCTGACCCCCATCAGCAGCAACAGATCGAGAGCTTTGCACACGCCGTCCAGCGTCCAATGGAGGAGCGAGCCGGAGCGCGCAGGAGGCCTCCCATGGCCGTGCCTCCGCTTCTCCTCTTCCTCCTGCTGCTCTCCTCGTTCTCCTCCTGTGCCGCCGCCGCTTCCGGGGCTCCCGTGGGCGAGGACTACGTCCGGCCGCCCGCGGCGGCGCGGCGCTGCGGCCTCCACCACCGGAAGGCCCTCCTCAGCCTCTTCCCGTGGAGCAAGAAGAAGGACTCCTCTTCCGCCTCCGATCCGCAGCAGGTGAAACCTCTCTCTTGAGATCCTTGATTCTTCCGCGGCGTCGGCTTGGCTTGGCTTGCCTCCCGATTTGTTCCGAGGTAGGTTGGAGTATAAGTCAAGTTTTGTCGGGTCTGGTTATGTTCTGAGAATCCAAGAAGCGATCGATTAGAAAACACATGAATCGGCTCGGGGATCGATCAATCAGTTTGTGGCTATTGCTTGGTAACCAACTTCCCTGTTTTGTACAGTTTTGGCTCAAATTTTGAACTGGTTGTAGCTGATTTATTTTGTGTTCAATTAGTGTAGCTCATTTCCCTTAGCTAGAAATATGTCTAAATTCGAAAATTACCAATTTCAGCTTATGGGCCTATTTGTGCTCTAGTAGTCTGGTTCTGCAATTTGCTTTAGGCGAGTGAACTCGTCCGTTCTGTATTAGATGTGACATGCTAACTCTATAACAGTGCATTTTTGCTATTTGAATTGTATGTTATAACAGATGATTATGTTGAATCCAAGAAACTCTATAACGTTTGATCCTTCAACTATTGCCGCAATGGCTCAGTTCTGTCCTTGTACTATTAACTGTTGTGATATCTGAGTTTTTCCTCAAATTTCACAAAGGACAATAAGTAGGCAAATCAATCCCATAACTTTGCCCGTTCTCTCACTTTCATGCTTCTGAGGTGATGGGTCCATGTGCAAAACACTGAGACCACATGCTAATTTGGTGGAATTGAGCCAATGTTTGGATATTTGGGACAAGTTTGGCCAAAGTTACATTACATATTTTGCCTAAATTGAGCCATCGGCATAAGCTGAGATACCAGATGCACTATTAACCCCCCTTTTATCTTGCTTGTTGTGGTTTTGCAAGTGTACCCAATCATAATTCAAAATTCAAATGGTTTTCATACACTTGCTCATTCGCATGCAGCGTTGTGTATTTATGCAAAGGACTGAAGAGGTTGTTGACCAGTGATAACATTTCAACCTCATTCCATGGTTTGAATTTTAACTGCATCTCATTACTCATTAGAATGACTGAATGAACTATGGTTACCTAGAGATACTTGCCACGTTGATGTGTGTGATCAGTTGGACTCAAATGGTAATACTTGCTCTGGTTTCCACAGTATCAGATGTGACAGTACTATATTAGATACTTAGATTATTAGAACTAATACAGCTGTCTTCACTTGTTTGGCGAATAGATCTTTGTGTGTGTGTGTGTGTTGGGGGGGGGGGGCATGTCCTTTACTAGCACAGAATTGCACTCAAATGCATGTAAAAAATATCTGAGAAAATTTGCAGTCTCTATGCAACTAAACCTTCATGCCATCCTTGAGTATATATGGAGTCTTTTTTGAGAATTCAATTCTTGTATTTGTTTTGAACATTTTTCTAATAGATAACCAGTGACTAAAATGCGCAATATGTTTACAGGTGCACATTTCACTAGCTGGAGAAAAGCACATGAGAGTTACATTTGTCACTGATGATAACTCCGTCCCTTCAGTTGTAGACTATGGAACTGAAGCAGGCACATACACATCAACGTCTCAAGGAGAAAGCACATCATACAGCTACTTAATGTATAGTTCAGGAAAGATCCATCATGTTGTTATTGGGCCCCTTAATGACAACACAGTTTACTACTACCGTTGTGGAGGACATGGTCCGGAATTCCAGTTTAAGACACCACCCTCCCAATTTCCCTTGTCATTGGCTGTTGTAGGTGATCTGGGGCAGACCAGTTGGACAACTTCGACACTTAATCACATTAAGCAGTGTGCACATGATATGCTTTTACTCCCTGGTGATCTCTCTTATGCGGATTATATGCAACATTTGTGGGATTCTTTTGGTACATTGGTGGAGCCACTTGCTAGCACCAGGCCCTGGATGGTGACAGAAGGAAATCATGAGAAGGAAAGGATACCGTTTTTTAAGTCTGGATTTCAATCATACAATGCACGATGGAAGATGCCTTATGAAGAGAGCGAATCCACATCAAATCTCTACTACTCCTTCAAAGTTGCAGGGGTGCATGCTATAATGTTAGGTTCTTATACAGATTATGATGAAAGTTCAGATCAGTACGCTTGGCTTAAGGTATATTACTTCGTATCTCTTATCTCCATATCGCATTTGATTTGCCTATGCTGCTCGTTTCTGACAGCATCAATTCTATTTATTTGGGATAAGAAGATTTTTATATTAGATAACCATTCACGACCAGGCCTGTAGAGCATGGGTGTGCAAAGTGATCAACTATAAAGGGCCCCACCAATTAAGGGACCTTCTTTCTTCAGTTTATGTTTTGCTCAATGGTCAATTAATTTGGTATAAACATGCAATCCATCTGCAACCTAGCGCTTGTCCTCTTTTTTCGCTCTTTGCATACACTTATTTTTACACAAAGACAACTGATCTGTCTCTACTCATGCGAAAACTAACTATTTCTATCTTAATTCCCAATTTGTTATGCTAATGTCAGTTATTTATTATGCCTTAATTCTCAATATATCGAGCTACGAGATGTTATCTCCTTCTTGATTTTGAGTGAATGTGTCACTACCATTGCAAACCATCACCATTTTTCATCATATGACATGTCCATTTTGAGTTTATTTAATTCAGCTTCCGAATCTTTGGGTATTGTTCTAATAAAAAGCTGACAACTAGAAAAACATTTCATAGTATCTAGCATCCAGCAATTGATTTTTGTAAATTAAATAAAATCTATTGAACATCTATAAATATTTTCTTGAGCTCTAGTTGTACAAAAGTGCATCACTGACTTTCTTCTGAAAATTTTGGACTTCGTGTGATACGTTTTGATGACCAGAAGGCGTGATGATCCATAGGGGTGTTATTTAACTTGCCCGAACCTCTCTCTCCCCCCAAAAGGGCTTGCAGCAGCTATGTTAGATGGAATATGCAACAGCATTAGCTTCTCTAAGAATTTTGTAGTTCTGCAATGGTATTTTTGCAACCTTTTATATTTGTGAATTGTGACGATATGTTGCACGTCAGCACGGATTGCTATGGTAGTGAGCAAATTTGCTCATAAATGTTTTCTGCAACACCATCATTGCTATGGTAGTGTGCTTCATGCTTGGTTATCATACTGGGTGCTACATGATACAACCATACATGCTGCATTATATTTGGTTGTTAAAAATCTTCCTTTTAAAGACGGAATTGTGGAAGTAATATGGGGTGCTCTTCTTTTCTTTTCTTCTCTTTTTTCCCTTTCGACCATGTGTTCCTAAATCATAAAGTTAGCTTCAGCCATAATGTTAATGATGTTTAAAGATGGAATGCTGGAAGTATTGGCACTAACTTCTCTATATGCAATTTCATCATAGAAGTTCCACAGGACCCAGAAATACCATGTGTGCCCCTGTTGACAATTGCATCTACATTTGAAGTTCTTTCAAATTATACTTTTCTTTGTGGGGTACTTAGTTGCTAGTGAAATACCCCAGCCCATTAATTCCGGTTTAGGCCCATTAGTGTGTTCTAGTTCGGTCCATATGTGGGATCTTGTTTGGGCCCGTGTGGCCCAAGTGTTCTTGTATGGTGGGATTAGTCACACATTGGAAATTTAGATAGGTTTGGGATCCATGCTCCAACAATAGTACCTACGGGTTAACCCTTTTACACGAAACAAGGACAAAAGTGTCAGTCGGGTACTATGCCTATGTGGGCCTGCTCTAGTGCGGATTTTGGGATGGGGTGTTACAGTTACTCAATTAGTCACTCCTAGCTGGCATATTTCTCTATGTTTTTCTTTTAAAAAAAGATGCGCTCAACTTTGAAATCCACCTTACTCTTACTGACAGCAGATTACTTTTTCCTTGGATTATCTTGGCTGCTTTTCAGGCTGATCTAGCTAAGGTTGACAGGAAAAGGACGCCATGGCTCATCGTATTGTTGCATGCACCATGGTATAATAGCAATTGGGCTCATCAAGGCGAAGGTGACAGTATGATGGCTGCAATGGAGCCTTTGCTCTATGCTGCTCATGTGGATATGGTAATCGCAGGTCATGTGCATGCTTATGAACGTGCGGTATGGCTCTTATCAGATCTCTTAGCTGCACAATATTATTGTTCAAAACTTTGGCCTCTGACCTTTTAGTCCATGGTTGTGACAATTCCATTTGATGATTTCATTGTTCATGAAGGAGCGAGTCTACAAGGGGGGACTTGATCCTTGTGGGGCTGTTCACATAACAATTGGGGATGGTGGAAACAGGGAAGGCTTGGCCCACAGGTACCATTATAATACCATGGTTAGAGCTCTGAATGTAAATCACTTTGGTGTCATTATATACAACTTTTCGGTATTTTCAGGTACCGCAATCCGAAACCAGCTTGGTCAGTCTTCCGGGAAGCAAGCTTTGGGCATGGTGAACTAAAAATAGTAAATGCCACGCATGCTCACTGGACTTGGCACAGAAATGATGACGAAGAACCAGTGAGAACGGATGATGTGTGGATAACGTCGCTGGCTGGTTCCGGGTGCATCCAGGACGGTAGTCATGAGTACAGGAAAATTCTGATGTCCCCTTAAGAACATCTGAACAGACATACAGACTACAGTTAGTAGCATAGTCTAAGTGCCTGCCATGTATATTGTATATATGTTTACGACTTGCTAAAATACAATCTCAGAAGCTCTTTTTTTCTGTATTTTGAATCTTGGCTAATCTGGAGATACCACTGTAGCTTGTCGACATATCTCTTGATGTATGCAACAATGTTTGTAGCCAGCCAAGTGAATGGCATTCTGAGGAATGCTTACCTTGTGTAACTGGACGACAGTCATGATATGAAACATATGTTATGTTACAACTGTTAACGACCAAATTTGGTAAATTTACATCGGATTTGGAGTTAAGGCCGAAGCGGATTTGGGAGGAAATCGATAACGGAAACAGGTATGAATCGGCTTCGAAACCGCATCGGCTACAGTGTGCATCGGCAGTTACCGAATCGGACAAGGCAAGCCGATGTAGCCGATTCTGGCAAGGTGATATTGGAATCATTGTCGGATTGAATTGACGTGCTTCATGATGATTGCCACGTATGGATCAAGTCCGAAGAAGGCAGTTGTATCTATTAACTAGGAATAATTTGTTAGTTTCCTTTTTATCTTTAGGAAAGTGTATTTAGTGTCCTATAAGGACTTTATGTTTTCCTTTTATCTTTAGGAAAGTTTCTTTCTTGTCCTACAAGGACTAGTATCTATTCATGGGTATAAATATGTACACCCAGGGTCATTGTAATCTATCTTCACAATCAATACAATTCGGCGTATTGCCACCTTTTACCTTTTCTACTTTATTTTATTGTCCGGCGGGACTTGGCACCTGACGCGGGGCTGCATCGGTGTTCGATCTCCGGCTAAGGGGTAAGTCCAATGTTCCGCCGGCCCGGGCAATTGTATCGTTTACGTCGGCGTCGTTCAAGGCTGCATCAGTATATTCGACTTCTTGGATTGCTCTGGTTTGGATGATATATTTGCCTACAAATTTATCATATGTCTCTGTTAATCTAGTCTTAGCATATCAATTTAGCTCTATCTGCTGCTTCTCGTTTTAGGGTTTCTGCTAGTATCGGCTAAATCGCGTTGCTAGATTAGATTAGCTTAGACATCTACCACCCTGAAAACTCAGTCAACGGCTTGATTGTCTAGATACTATGTTTCTTTTCATACTTAGTGTTGCATCAGTTAAGTTTGATCTACTAAGTCGTGCTTAAAACCATAATCTCTAGCCTGCTTTTTATTTGCCAATAAGGGTTTCATCGGGGTTTCAGCCGGTGAGTTATCTGGACGTTGCATCGGCTCATAAGAATTGCATATACATATATGTTGGATTTAGCTGATGACAACAAAAGTTTCACTGTTTAATCCAATCTTGTGGATTTCATGACATCGGACCTCCAGCCGATGTGTGTTTTAACCTTCGGATCGATGCTTATTTATCATATCATTATTTGCCGATTGGTTTATACTGGATTATATTGTTATTTTATTACATCATCATCACCCGATTGCCTTTATATCATCATCTACATTAGACATATAGCCGATTGCTTAAACCCTATCGCTATCGGCTGGTATCGGCATCGGCTATTATCGGCTATTGGTTGGAACTACTCTGTCGGCTTGTCAGCTGATCGGCTGTTTTGATCTACTATTTGCATATCTTGTCAGTTGCAGAATCAAACTGACTGGCACGCTCGCATCTCATCAAGATTTGGACCTACACAGGAGCTAAGCAGATCTTCTAGATCGGTGTGTTCGATTTTTTCATCAACAACAACGTACTAACTGATTCTTGCACACTCTCAACGGTCACACGTCACGCCTGAAAAGGGTGGCAGTAAGTACGAAATCGATGGACGAGGTTGTCGCCGCGCCGCGAAGGCTAGCGAACGCCAATGTCAATGCACACACCGTACGAAGTCACAACCGAGCTTAGAAGAAGAAGAAAAAGGAAATCTGTTCCCCAAATCAACAGGATTGCTATTCAAAGCCTTTTTATATATACACCAATTCTGCCACCCCGTCTTACATACATGCATGCGTGTTAGTTACGACAACAAATTTAACAACAGCGCATGTGCCGTTAGTGCTCAGCTGGGCCTGGTCCTGGAGCTGCTGCTAGCGTGGCGGACGGCGTACGTCGTCCTTGCCGGAGTAGCCGAGCTCAGCGGTGGAGAGGTCGTTGGCAAACGCCATCCGCCGGAAGAGCTCGATGTCCGCCGAGTACTGGTTGGAGTCGTACGCCATGCTCTGCCCAAGCTTCACTCCGTTGGTCAGGTCCGGCGAGCTCCCCTCCACGTCCAGCGATCGCCACACCTATATATCCAATATATAGTTTTTTTATAATACACTATTTGCATTGACAGACAGATACATATATACATTGGCAATTATATTTATCAAATCATTTTTGTTATAACTAATAGAAGTTGACTTGTATGTTCGTCGGAGTGATACATCTAATACATCTTGAAATCTTTGAATGATTATTTAAGATAACATGTCAGAAACGATAGATACGGCCCTTGAGGGATGATTTCAGTTTAATTACCTGCACCATCCTTGGTCTCTTGGTGACGGAGTAGCGAATGCAAGCGGCCGCGGCCTCCACCATCCTCCGCATCTCCGACTTGGAGTAGCGGCGCTCCAGCGCGGGGTCAGCGAGCTCCCTGAAGTCGTCCGTCTCCAACGCGTCCACCAGGAGAGGCCGAGCCTGCATCCACCGGACACAGATCACCAGCCATGTGACCATGTAACAAGACAGACTGACAAAAGCTTTCGCGTCGGCGTCTGTAATTAACTTGAGAATCATCGCATGCATATATACTTAATTACCCATTCAACTAAGCTCTCTTCTCCGAGGGGCTGAGACGAGTCCACGGGCTTCCGCCCGGTGATGAGCTCCAACAGCACCACCCCGAACGAAAACACGTCCGATCTGTCCGTCAGCTTCCCGCTTGATGCGTACTCCGGCGCCAGGTACCTGTGCAACAACGACCAAGGTTACATACAAATATACAATCCGTGTCATGTAACAACATACGAAAGCCATGCATCCTACATAGAAATTTCGATCGATCGAATTAAACCATGATATATATGATGATCTGCATTAGGACGTACGGACGTACGAAGTGCTTAATTACCCGAATGTGCCCATCACGCGCGTCGAGACATGAGTCACCGAATCGTTGGTGAATTTGGCAAGACCGAAATCCGCGACCTGTTTTTTTTTTTTTTTTTTGGTCACCGATCGGCAAGAAATTCAATCGTCGTCAGTTTGTCATTCTGTGTGGAATGCTGAGGAGGAACAAGTTGTGTTCGCACCTTTGCTTCGAAGGCGTCATCCAGGAGGATGTTGGCCGACTTGATGTCCCTATGTATGATCCTAGGATGGCCTGCAAATACAATAGAGTCGATTGAACGGTTAAATGAATGCAGAAAATTAAGCTGAAGACCAAATTAAGTGTAATTGCGTTTGTTTAAAAAAGAAAGAAAGAAAAAAGGTGTGGCGTACAGTCTTCGTGCAGGTAGGTCAAACCACGGGCTGATCCGATGGCAATCTTCATCCGCTTGGGCCAATCCATGACGGGGAGGCCTCCTCCGTGCAGGTGATGGTCGAGCGTCTTGTTGGAGACGAACTCGTAGACGAGGAGGTGGTGGTGCTCGGTGACGGAGTAGCCGACGAGGGTGACGAGGTGGCGGTGGTGGACGCGGCTGATGGTGTCCACCTCGGCGCGGAACTCCTTCTCCCCCTGCCCGCTCCCCACCTTGAGCTGCTTCACCGCCACGCACCGCCCGTCGCCCAGCGCCCCCATGTACACCTTCCCGAACCCGCCCTCGCCGATCACTTTCTCCTCCGCGAACCCGCCGGTCACCGCCGCCAGCTCATCGTACGTGAACCACGACGTCGTCCCGGAGAACTCGTACGAGCTCGTCCCGCTCGGCGACGCCGTCGGACCGTTCGACGGCTGGTACACTTCCGGCGACGCCACACCTGCATCTCATGCCATGTCATGCCAGGACACGAGCCGACGTCAATCCATGCATGGACATTGGACAGATGGACTACTACACTTACGCTCCGGCACGACGAGGGTTCTCCTGCGCGCCAGGTTCATCACCTGTGCCGGCCGCCGCCTCCTCTTCCACCGGTTCTTGATGCACAAGAACAAGAACATGGACGCCAACGCCAGGAGGAAACCGGCGAAGGCGACACCGATGAGCAACCCGCTCGGCACGTTGCCGCCCCATGCTCCCACCGATGGAGCCGGAGGTGGTGGTGCGCCGGCGGTGGTGGCGTCAGGCGGGCTCTGAGACGTGCCGGCTGTAGTTAGGGAGCTCGGCATGATCATGCTGTTACCGCCCGGTGGTGGTGGTGGCTGGATCGGCGGCGCCTGTGTCGTAATAAGCGTCGTCGGCGGCGATGGTGGCGTCCCGGGCGATGGCATTTCGCGCGGTGCAGGTGGCGAGGTTCCTGCGCCGGCAGGAGGTGTGGAAGACGACGACGACGACTGCGCATTTGGGGGAGGTGAAGGTGTTGTAGCCCCTGATGATGGCGAAGGTGGCGGCGAGGTTCCTTCTTCCGGAGGTGATTGATGCGATGGCGGTGTCGACGACGTAGTAGGAGGCGGAGACGGCGGTGGAGGGGACTTGCTTGGTGGGGGCGGAGAGGGCGGTGTCGTCGGTGCCGGAGGAGGTGAGGATACTGACGGGGACGCCACTGGCGGAGGTGAATCTTGGGACGGCGACGCGGGACTCTGGTTTTTGCCTGGAGATGCCGGAGGAGGCGGGGGCGGAGTGGCCGGCGGCGGCGGCGGGGGAGGCCGCTGAGGCGAGGACGGTGTCGGTGGAGGAGGAGGAGGGGAAGGCGACGGCGAGGCCGACGACGACTGCGGCGGGGGCTCCGGCGGCCCACCGGCAGGGGCCGTGGCCGTGTCCTCCGTAGACGCCATGAGGACGCGCGGCATCATGCTGCCGCGCGTTCGTCCGGGTCGTCGTCAATGCCGACGCGTTCCGGTGAGCCCCCCTCACAGAAGCAACAATGGCATCTCGCGCGCGCGTGACGTCGTCGCCGTAGGGGGAGGGGGGTGCGGCGGCCGGGCCGGGCTCACATCGGCATTGGCGCCGGCGAAGCAGCAGCGGTGGCAAGGTTGATGCTATTCTCGGTTGTGGCCCATGGCGTCCTGGGCATGCACGGGACCGGAAAGGAAGACTACGGCTGTGAGGCGTTCCGGTGGTGCATGCAATGGTGGCCGCATGTTTCTCCTAGTAACTTCTAAGTGGTGACCACGGTGAACGGCTGACATGGTGAGCGACTGAGCGTACGCGTTTACGTGGTGATTCGATCGGTCTATCGCCGTGTTTAGTTTCAAAATAATTCATCAAACTTCTAACTTTTCTATCCCCATCAAAACTTTCCTACACAAATTTTCAACTTTTCCATCACATCGTTCCAATTTCAACCAAACTTCCAATTTTAGTGTGAACTAAACACAGTCTATATATAGCACAAGCTAGAACATGTATTAAAGGAGTCATGGTGTTTGATTCCTAACAAAAGAAGTAGAAAATTGCCCCCCAAAATGTTTTCCTTGCGAGTTTGCTCTGTTCTTCCTCTGTTTTCCTTGCAAAGCTCTTGACAGATTTGCAACAGTAGGCAAGATTTGCGTGTGCGATCCTGTGCCATTTTCCAACACTGCACCTCGCCTTGCCGAGAAGAAGACGAGGTGTGATTTAACGTCGCGGAGCTTTCCCAGCTTCTGTTTAGATTCTCCCCTGCTTTTTTTTTTGTTTCTCGCTTACTTTACTTGGTCTCTTGGACGAGTGGAGGAACATAGCAGCAGCGGGAGCGACTTCTACGATTGAATTTAATAAGAGAGCTCTCTCCCTCAATTATACGGCCTTGCGTCGCTCATAGGGCAGGCACCCTCCGCCCGAGCGAGCCGCTGCAAACCGCGTGGCTCCAAGGACAGTGACGGTGGGACCTTCTTTCTTCCCAAGGTAGCGGGGTCGGAGCCCACGACCGTGACTAGATCCAGGATGACGCTAGACTGGAGCCGACGCCTCAAGGAGCTGGCTACTGGTGGCGAAGAGGAGAGTGGTAGCAAGGACCGGTGAGGAGGCGTTGACCCGTGCAACGACGGCGAGGCAGCACTGCCGGATATGGTGTCCCCAACCAGATTCAGCCCCCTCCCGTCCGGATCTGGCCTCCCCGGCGCGGGAGACCGGCTCCCCTGCACGCACTCGAGTCGGCAGCGTGACGAGGCGGCGGATGCAACTACGTGGAGCGAGGTCGAAGGGTGCGGTGGAGCGGGCGTTGACGGCGGGCACGGCCGTGCAGTGCCAACGTCAGGAGGAACGTGGAAGTGGCGACAGGCATGAGAGGAAGCGTGTGGCGCTACCTGGGAGCAGAAGGCGTCCTCTCTCCATTCCTCATGCTTGCTGTCGTGCGGGATGGCTACTCCCAGTGGAATGCTGGCGAAGCACAGAGGCACGCGACCAACGGTGGTAGGCCGACGTGGCGTGAGGTGGCACGCCCGGAGGCGACGGGACCGTGGAAGTCCGAAGCGGTGAGCGGGTGGCAGCGTGAGAGGTTGACGTGGGCAACGGCAAGGAGGCCGGCCAGCTAACAGTGTAGGAGGCCATGCGATGATGGCAAGAAGGCCGGCACGACGGGGAAGGGAGAGGCCCGGGACGACGTGTCTGCTGCTTTCCACGTGGAGGCACGCAGAGGCTGTTGGTGGGGGGCGCTTGTATAGCGATGTCCATGCGCTGACGGAGGTTGGCTAGGTGGTGGAGCAATGGAGCGTTGGCTGTGGATTGACATTTGGCATGCGGCTAGTGTAAAACCTAACTCGGTTTTACCGGGCCAACAACAATGATGTTTTGGGTGCCGTTTTCCTTCTTGTGGCGTTATCAAGCCGTCCCTCTCCCTCTTGTGGAGTTGCCGAGTGAAAACTTGTCTTAGTTCTCTTTGAAACCTCGAACGGACAGTGGCGTCGGTGCTCATTGACGCTTTTCTCCCTAGAGATATCGTCTAGGAGGCCCCTGACCAAAATTTCTCTCAGACAGTTTGTGTGTGCTCTCTCTAGATATTTGTCCTCTTGTGACGATGCCCTAGCTAATGCAAACTGGCCATATTGGTGGGTCTTGTGGGGGAGAGCGGTTCCATTCTTCTCTCTCACCCTCTCCCCTCCAATCCCAAAGACGTGGATATAGTTGAGTGCGTTGTTCGGCTCTTAGGTATTGGTTTTGGGTGGTTTAGCTATAGCTCTTTTTTTTTGTTGATCTAGCGGCGGCTGGTCCAGTGCTAGCCTTCTCCTAGATTCTATGTAGGTGTTGTTAGTGTGTGGTGGTGGTTTTTTTCTTTCCTGTCTACTGCCTCCCATGGTGGTGGCCTTGTAATTTTTTCTACGTTGGAAACTAATCCTTCACACACATAAAAAGGAGTGACTCATTAGCACATGATTAATTAAGTATTAGCTATTCTGAAAAATTGGTTGATATGATTTTCTTAAAGCAACATGCACATATTTTTTTTAAAAAAAAAATACACTGTCTAGTAGTTTCGGAAGCGTGTCCAGTGGTCACGGGAGATTTTTATACGGGCCATGTCACCTCGAAAAATAATGTCAACCGATAATTTGATAGTGTGCAATACTAATACTACCTGCGTGAAAAATATCACCTGGTCAGCATTCTTTTGGGCAAAAATTTTGCTCTACGGTACAGCAGTAGAAAATGTGGGGCGTTTATAATGAAATCACTGTCTTGATTAGAAAAATAGAAGTTTTACTAATTTGTAATGGCGAATGTAATCTTATTAAAGTACACCGTGTTGGTAAAAATAATTAAAAAAAAGAGATAAAAAACCGTCCCGCTGGAATATGTTGACAAGGCGACGCTCGAAAATGTTTGGAAAGGAGAAAGTCTACTGCTTACCTCTCTCAACTCGAGTATGAATTTTCTACCTAACCGCAAAATTAGATATATACATCATCTGGTAATTATCAATACCAGTTCATTTTGCTTTTCTGAACGGTTTGGTTTCATTCGATAGACATCAGGACATGAGACAGAAATCAAAGCAATATGCACATGTGAGACGATGGAGCATCAAGGTGTAGCCTCACTTTTCGTACAGATTGCACCAGCAATGCAGCTGTACAAGTTTCAGGGCGGTAGTGGGTGTGTTCCTTTTCTTTACAAGTCCTCGTCCTAAAGGCTATGTGCATTTGGATATTTGAATGATATACCTGACTTCATGTTTAATGTGCAGGTGCAGCCAGAATGTTGTTGCATGTGACGTTCCATCCAACATGCAAACGTGAACTTATCGAAGTTATTTCTTAAGTAGATGATCAGTTTGCTAAAGCTTCTCAATGATGAGCCAATACCAGCTAGCGATGTCAAGCTTTGGTCATCATACTTCATTGCAATGGATCTCAAATGAATGATACCATAAAATGTAAACTAAAAAGCAATCGGAGTTCCCTATAGAGTAGCATTGAACAGCTCCATCGATTCGCTGATTTTAAGCATAAGCGAAACGGCATATTTGCAAATAAAAAAAATTATGAATAAAATTTTTATGTAGTGTTTTTAACGATCTAAATGCAAAGGCTGAAAAATAAACTACGATGAAAAAAATTTAAAATCAACTCTAAATTTAAGGCTGATAAGTATAAGCGAAAAGATGGGGCCATCCCATTCAGTTATCCAGGCTAAATCCAAAACCATTTTTTTTCTAAATCAAAAGGTAATGTATTAACTTATCCTACTCTCAGACATTGAGTTATCATATAGAGTAGCATGAAGACCAATCAGTTATCCTACTACTCTTAGACATTCTTTTTTCTGTATCAGATTAATTCTAATGTATTTAGAAGTCTTGGATCATACTCTCAGACCATGTTTTTCTATACATTTGTGAATGCTGAACGAAAAATAATCAAGCTATTATGTTATAAAACATATTTAGCCTTTATAACCAGATTTTGATGTTGAATGCATGTAAGAAGCTTTTTACCGTATTTGAGTATTGCCTAATCTGAAGATACTGTAGCTTGTGCAAGATATTTCTGTATGTATGCGACAAGGTTATCGCCAAGTGAATGACATTCTCAGTAATGTTTAGCTTATGTAACTGGACGAGTCATGATATGAAATATATGTTACAGCTGATTTTGCTAATGTCTCTAAGGTGAAATTCAGTAGAAGACACGTTCAATACAAACCAAAATTCTAGTCATAGTTGCTTTATTGCTTCGAGACAGAAGAACACATGTGCCATGGCATGGAGAGCAAAAGTTGAGTAGGACACACGATATATCAACCAAATTTCAAGAAAAAGATCAGACCATTTCGATCGATCATGACCAAACAAAGGTATGAAGAAATCTTGATTAGACCATGTCTAACGAACTCATTCAGTATATTGTAGACTAGAAAGTGTTGCAATACTCAAGGAAAAGGTTGTATCCAACACAAAATATTTGTAAACTAGGGTAATGGTCAGCTTTTGCCACTATGATTGAAAGCAATGGTGACAGTTCAAAAGTACAATATCTCAGACAGTTGCTTTCAGCAAACGAAAATCCCTAGTATAAAATCATGATATAGATGACATCTGGACAGAAAAATGCATCCAGAAATCATATGAATAGAATTAGACAACAAAAGAAAAACAGGGCCACCTTATGTCTTGGACTCGAGTTTTTGTTTCCAATTCTCATCCTTGCATCTCCGTTGATCTGCAATCATTGACTCGAAAACATCCAGCAGATCATCCAGTCCCTTTGCATCCTCTCCAAGTTTCCTCATGGCAACAACTATGCTCTCAATGGTAGACAAGCACCCAGCCCTTGGCTCATGCCTCACCTCACTATACAAGCTAACACCATCTGATTCTAGCTTCACATGTGGCAGAAGTTGTAGCCATGGATTCTCATGGTACATACGTTGCGCCTTTGCCCAAGTTCCATCCAACACAATCAAATGTTGTAACTGACAGTCTGAAGCATCAATGCTGATTGCCCGCTGGCACGGGAATAGCAGAGCTGACTTTGGTGGTATGGTGATTGAGAATTCCTCAAACACCGAAACTTCCCCAGTTTGTTTTGACTTCTTCATTTGTATTTTCGTGACAGTAAAACCGTTGGAGACAGCTGACTGACCAAGTGGTCCTCTTGACAACCATCTGATTTTGGGCTTCACACCACGCTCAATTTCAATCTTGAGTTCCTTCTCCGTATAGGTAATAGAGCACTTATCCATGTTTTTCACAGTCCAGTCTTGACCAATAGCAGCAACAGTTCCAACATTTTCTCTAGGTATACCATTGCAGTTTTGGGCAGTTGCCATTTGAAATTCTGAGGCGTTTTCTACTAAATGACGAGGGAGATTACCATTTACCTCGCCAATACTGTGATGATTTTCACCGTGGATACCATCAACAAAGGAGTTTCCTGTCTGGTTAGCTGAGGAGCCCAGTCTTTCAGAATCTGAGCAATATCCATTCCTCTTCATACTCTGAAACCCCAATTCCTCACCTCCACCTAAGTCGCTTTTAACACTACAGATCTCTCCATCCAAATCAAAGCCAATCCTATCAGGGATATCCACAAGATCCAATATTTCACCACCGATATCGCTAGAACCTCGAATATTCGCAGCTTTCACACCCAAATCACTAGAAGCATTGATGCCCTTCGTCACATAATCACGCCTTGCACAACTAACTGCTCCACCCGATTCGCCAGAAATTCCATTAGAGCATATTGCAGAATCTAATGTTTCACCTTCGCATTGCACAGGACCAGCAGGGCCTCCCGTTCCGCCGCCAAAACCGTCGCCCTCCAGCACCTGAATCTCCCCGGGCCCGTCGGGACGGTCATGATTTCCACCGCCGGCGGCGGCGGCGGCGTCGAGCGTCCTGAGGTGGAAGCTGGCGCGGTGGTTGACGTCGCCGACGAGCGCGACGGCGAGGTTGCGGAGGCCGAGGCGGGCGACGCGGGTGGAGTTGAGCGGGTGGCCCGCCTCCATGAGGTGCTGCAGGACGGTGACGCCGACGGCGGTGTCGAGCGGCGGGCGGCGGAGGCAGCCGCAGAGGCAGAGGCGGAGGGGCTTGGTGCAGACGCCGCACATGGGGCGGCGCTGGTCGGGCTCCCGCCGATGCGCCTCGCCCTGGTTCGCCGCCATGGATGGACCGGCCGACCCGGTGTGCAATCTGTATCCTGTAGTAGGGGATTGGGGGCGGCCGGCTTGGGCGAGGGTGTTTGCTCGATTTTAGGGTTTTAGGGCGTTTTGGTATCATGGGATGTGCTGGTAATAAAATGGGAACATTGGTTCCCATCCAAGGATTTGACGGGAACCAAGGTAATAAAATGGGATTAGGATATTTTGTTTCCCCTGGTTAATTTTTTTAGTTTAATTAAATTTTTTAAAAATTGCAATATTTCCAATACAACACAAACATATTATCAAAATATACTCAATGTTACATTTAATTAAACTAAAATGGTGTTTTAGATATTGCTAAATTTTTCTATAAACTTAATCGAAGTTTAACTTAAAAATCAATCAAAGCGACTTAGGTGAATTCGAATATACCCCTTTTAGGGTTTTAAATCTCCCGCTATAGCTGTTTGAGAAGGGTTCTAGTTTTTTTTGCTCTAATGTACAATTTAGCCGCTATAGCTCCATTTAGCCCGCTATAGCTGTTTGAGAAGCTAACCGCTAAATGTCTTAGTCTGCTATTTAAAACATTGACCCCTTCCCAACTTCCACTATATTATTTTTCACGCGTATGTTTCCCGCACTGATAAACTATGTTTTTTAAATATTTTCTATAGAAAAGTTATTTTAAATATTAATCTAATATATTTTTAAGCTTTTTTTGACTAATATTTATTTAATTATATATTAATCTATTGTTCTGTTAGAGGATTAGTTCTAACCCCAATAACAAACACAAAGTTATAATACGAACAAACGGAGTACTCATTTCTTAAATTTTTTTTGACTGGCTGTCATTATGCATTTACGCGTTGGTGAAAACCTTTTTCATTTAGACAAGCCAGGTTAAAGCGAATGTGTTTTTAATATATGTACATTTGTGTTCGGTATTAAAGTTTACAGAGGTATTATGGCAGTTGAGTGAGGTAATATGGAATTAGTAGTGTCACGACTCACGATCTATGACGTCGTGAACATCAAACCAATTAAAAATGGTGACAAAATTTTCTTTTCCTACAAATCACTATACTCCCATAGTATTCAAACAAGAGTAATACTATCATTTTGTTTAATACTTCCTCTGTTCTATAATATAAGGGATTTTAAATTTTTGCTTGTACTGTTTGACCACTCGTCTTATTCAATTTTTTTTGACTAACTTTATTATCCAAAGTATTTTAAACACAACTTTTTATTTTTTATATTTGCACAAATTTTTTTAATAAGACGAGTGGTCAAATATTGCAAGCAAAATCTCAAAATCCATTATATTATATTATGGGACGGAGGGAGTATTCAACATTTGATTGTATTTCCATCTTATTCTTAATCTGTATAAGCTGAATATACCTTTTTGAAAAGAACAAAGTGAGTATTGAAATTTACGGCGTAATTAAACACGAGCATGAAAATTGCACAGATAATGTGCCTCAAACTAGCTTTTCTCAAATCTGGCTGCCCATGGCACATGCCCAGCTTTGATATAGTGGCTCTTTCCTTTTTTTTTTTTGAAAAAAGAAATGCAAATGCATGTGAACGCCGCATTTTTTATTCGTTGCAATGAAGGCGGCTGGTGAGTGGGTGGCACACTTCTCTTCTCTCCGTCTCCCTCCCGGTCATCGATTAGCCGCCTGAAATGACGAAAGTGCGCCTCCCGCCGCAGACCAGACCGACCACCGATCGACGACTTCTCTCCGCGGCGCACCACGGATTAGCCAAAAATAAGCGAGAGCGAGTACGAGAGAGATTGAGAGAGAGAGTCAGAGAGAGAGAGAAGAAACTGCTCTCGAGATCTCACCGGCGAGGCGGGGCGAGATCTGGTAAGAGAGAAGGAGGGAGGGAGGCCGAGAGAGCGAGATGCACGACTTCTGCTTCACGATCCCCTACGGCTTCGCCGTCCTGGCCGGCGGCGTGCTGGGCTACGCCCGCCGCGGCAGCACCGCCTCCCTGGCCGGCGGCGCGGGCGCCGGCGCGCTCCTCCTCCTCGCGGGCTTCGTCAGCCTCAAGACCTTCGAGAAGCGCCGCAACTCCTACCTCGCCCTCGCCCTCGAGACCCGTACGCCCCCTCCTCGTCCTCCATTTTTTCGCTGCCCTCGGTGCAAATGTTCCATGGTTGGTTCTTCTCCATCCTGCCTTCTTGGAATCGTGCTATGGATGGAGGTGAAGTACAGATCGCATTTTTTGAATTTGCGCAGTGGTGGATCGCTGCATAATTTTGCCCCCAAAAAAGGCTATGCATGTATTTTGGGTGTTATACCATGTCGGGATGTGCAGTTTAGTGGTGAAATGGAGTGATAGATGGCGATGGTGGCGTCTCTAGTAGTCTAGCAACTTGACTTTGTTAAGGTTAGGATTCTGTGGCACTTATGGACGTATAGATGTGTTTAGGAATATCACTTTGGCTGCATTTTCAAGGGAGGGATGTTCTCAGTGGTAAGCACTTGGGAATTCCTGTCAATTTCGTTCAGATTGTTGTGGGCAGCAGGGAAATGGATACCAGGATCCTCCTCTCATACTGCCAAAGGCAGTGCGGCAGCAAATCTGTCTCTATGTGATAGTCCTGCATTTGTATGAAGACAAAACTAAACACCTTTTCTGAATCCGGTAGTCATAGCTTCAATTACCCATTGTCTGATAATCTAGTGCTACTAATGACTCCCCAGTCTCCAGCAAGGAGGCATTTCATCTCATGGGACACCATAATAAAGGCTGGTAGCTACTGAATTCATTGCTATCTAAATTGCTCCCTTACAACGATGGCAATTGATTGCATTGGTGCGATTGTTAAGATTTACAGATTTTGCTCAATAGGCATTGATCATAGCCAAATTAGTGAATCTAGCATTGGAGAATGTTGAACACATTTGTCCTCAATGCCTGAATAGTTGCTAATCACTCTCAGATATTCCCTAACAGAGTATGGTATTTAGATTTGCAGTAGTTCTCAATGCCTTATTGAATTTACATGGTAGCTCATTTTTCATTCATTCTCTGCAAATTTTATTAGTACTAGTCAACCAGGGCATGGAAAGCATGTTTTAGTGTAGGTATATTAGATATTGAATTTTTTTCTACGATGTTTGTATTTAGTTTGCAGATTGATATCTGATGAAAATTAGTTTGCATGCCAGATAGCTTTTGTGATCAACTCGGACTCCGTTAAGTATGTGCACATGGTGGTTTGATTATTTTCTTGTTTGGTGGGACTTTTGAGTCTCGACACTTGCATAGAATCTGAACAAACTCATCATATTGATTAGGGACATCTGTAGGATGTAATAGTTAAATATATTATATGGCTGGTTTTATTTCGTTTTATCAACTAGATAATTTTTATTAATGTACGAATTCTTGCCTCTTAGTTACCAATCTAGGATTAACATGGGGCCTTTCTAGGAAGGCCTCCAATTAGTGCAAAGAATGATATACTATTTAGATCTCTGTTAGAGTTTGTAACTGTATACTGTATATACTTTTGTTTTTGTTAATTTCAGTTCTAAATTTGTTGCTAGAGAGATCATCTATGCATGTTGTCGTATCTTTATTGACAATGGAAAGCAGTAAAAGTATGTGCAGTTTAATTAATGTGCACATGTTTTATTGAAACATTCCACCTTTCAGTCAGATCTAGATTCGCTAACTCAATGGACTGTAATATAAATTGTAGCATTGTTGCCTGTGTTTAATGCTTTGACTGTATCTTCAGATCTTCCTTTTAGCAATATTTAGTTATCGCAGTATTGCTTCTAGTAGGAGCTGAAAAGATCTCATCAGTATCATTCATTTAAGCTATTTTTTAGAAAATGATTCATTTAAGCTAATGACCCTTGCTTTAAGTTAATAAATCAGTTTTGACGAAAGGAACTGAGAAGGAAATATACCACGGAATGAACTTTGTCCGAAAAATGTATCCACCATTTCCTGCAGACCTGCACTTCACCTCATTTCTGTCTTCTTACCTTACGTCCACCTTTTCCTGCACTTTACCTCATTGCTTTGTCCTTTTGTCTTTATTAACTGTAAAATTTTGCTTTGTCGAACAGTATGTGCACTAGCTTTGACTTATGTTATGGGGCAGAGATACCTTGAGACTTCAAAGATAATGCCAGCTGGTGTCGTTGCTGGCCTCAGGTAAAACCCTCTCCGAACTAGTATACACTTCCATCGCTGTATTCTGAAAACTTTCTGAGTTTGCAGATATTTCATTTGTATTCCTCTTGCAAATACAATATGTATGCATTATGAAGCTAACTTTTACGTTATTGCAGTGCTTTGATGTCTGCGTTCTACCTGTTCAAAATTGCAACTGGTGGCAACCATATCCCACCGAAGAAAGAGTGAACCAGGCTTTGCTTGTGAAGCATGTTTTGTTATACTCTAAGACTACGACAGATTTGTGTTGTGGAGTTTCATTGTAAGTCCAGTGATCAGCAAAGCCATTTTTCGCCTGTAATTCTTTAGAGTGCACTTCTGATGTCTGAACAATGTAAAAGAATTAAATATTTAACTTCCTACGGTACGTGTATATGAATGATATACTCCTGAACTTTTTAACTGGCCTTCCTCCCCCTAATCTCTATATACCAAACATATATATCCATTGATGGATGTAATGGTAGACCTGATGGTGTTTCCACCATCATATTCAACATTATCCTTCCATGCTGCTTTCCTTTACTAAAGCCGGTTTGTTCGGTTAATCTCTCTCATATCTACCTTATAATTCAACAAATGATTTCACTCATTAATAATTCTTTCATTCCTCATGGAACGGTCCAGATTATTTCATTGAGGTCTAACGTTCGGAATAGCTTCCGTGCAAGCATCACCTTCTCTCACCTAGCATCCCTGAAATCACGTTGCACTTTTCTTCCTGATTCCCAATCATGAAATCCCTCCGCTCCCCTCCCCTAGCACCGCAATCGCTCCCCCTCCCCCCTCTGTCACGCACCGCAAACCACACCCCAACCCGCACTCCCACCCCGCCAATTGCCCCTTCACTCGCCACTCTGCTGCTCGTTGCCCTTCCTACCGGTTTCCTCCGCACCGCCCCCCATCTCCACCAGCAACTCTGCTGCAGGAACTACGTCACGCCGTCGCCCTATAAGGATGGTTTCATAAACTGAAGTGCAATCATTGTTTCCCTTACATTTTTATTTTTTTTTCTTGAAAGCATTCAACAGTTTATAAAGACAGAAATGGCGAAGCACTTATACAAAAGTTACTGGAATAATACTGAAATTAACTGTGGCAAAAAGTGCAACACAGTTGCACAGCAAGCCTCTGATCACCTTGCTAATTAATCAGTTCGATCACTAGTTTGGTGCCTTGTTGGGAGTTGGGACTAGTAAGAGTGGTATCTTCTTGTGGAACGTCAGCTTCCCTGCCTCTTCCATGTCGATATCCTCCTTCCTCACCCCATGGGGAAGCTCCCAATCGAAGCAAAAAAGCATGCTTGCCAAGATGAACTCGATGTTGGCCACTCCCATGGCCAGCCCCGGGCAAATCCGACGGCCAGAGCCAAATGGCACCAGCTCGAAATGTGCCCCGTTGAAGTCAATGTCCATCTCCTCAAACCTCTCTGGGATAAACTCCTCTGGATCTTTCCAGATGTTCGGGTCCCTGCCGATTGCCTACGCGTTCACGATGACCTTGGTCTTCTCCGGGATGTCGTACCCGCCAACCTTGAAGTGCCGTGTGGTCTCCCTGGGAACGAGTAGCGTCGCGGGGGGATGCAAGCGGAAGGTCTCCTTCACCACCATCTTCAGGTACTTTAGCTTTGGCATGTCGTGGTGCTGCACCCGCTCCTTCTCGCCTACGACGGCTCTAATCTCGTCTTGTGCCTTCTTCATCACCCTCGGATTGCGGATGAGCTCGGACATTGCCCAGTGCAAGGTCACTGAGGTAGTGGTGATGCCACCGACGAATGTGTCCTGAAATTGAGTTACGTTTCATCAGATGAATAAACAAGAAAACTTGACAGATACCGGAAACCCCACCGTGATCTTGGAGGTTTACAGTAACACTTAATTACCAAGAGCATGGCCTTGACATGGTCCTTAGTGAAGCCCTGCTTGGTGTTTCCTTCCATCTTCCAGAGGTCGATGAGCTCGTGCACGAGGTCTGACCCTGCTGAGCCCTTGTCGTCCGCCTTTCTGCGAGCCGCGGCGGGGCCGTCGTCGTCGGCAGCGGCGTGCTGATCGACGATCCGCTCGAAGAAGCGGTCGAGCTTCCTGAATATGGCCTCGCGGCGCGCGGCGAGGCCGGTGAGGCGGTCGACGAGGCGGCCGGCCACGCTGCCGGGGAAGAAGTCCTCGGCGGAGGAGCTGCTCAGCAGGTCCATGGTCTCGCTGATGTCCTTGAACTCCTCCGCCGCGTACGTCTCCCCGAGCGCGAACGTGCCGATGATGCCGTCCACCGTGGAGAAGATGTGCTCGTTGATGGCCACCGCGTTCCGCCCGTTTCGGGTCAGCTTCTCGATGAGCTTCTCGACCTAATTAAAACATGACATGGCCAAATGTCATTCCATGGATTTCCTACTACAGAAAAACACCCTAAGCACCGGTTCGAAATTGCTGCTCCCTCCTTTTTGTATTATAAATTATCTTGATTCTTTTAAATCGAGTTTTAATTTGACTCAATTTATAGAAAAATATAATAATATTTTTAACACCGAACAAATATATTATAAGAATATATTCAATGTTAGATTTAATGAAAATGTTAGATTTAATGAAAGATGTTATAAGAGTCACTATATTTCTCCATAAACTTTTAAAAAATAATTTATAAAAAAGTCAAAACAATTTATAATATAAAATCACTGTCTGTTTTGTTTAATATCATTGTATGTTTTTTTACTATCACTGTCTACTTTTGAATTGGCACTAACCATGCAGCAGTAATAGTCGGGGAGCATCACTGCCTGTTGAGAAAACAGAACTCATACAATCATCACATTCTGTTTCACAAATCGATAGTGATAGTCCGATCCGATAAGTTTGTACAATTCTAATTTTTTATACACACTTACCTAGAATAGGAAAAATAAATGTGTTTGTGTGAGGGTGCTGCACATATGAGTACTTAGGTTATTTTTAATACATACTCCCTATGTCCCAAAAAGCCTAACCTTAGATCTGTTTGGGACAGCTCCAACTCCTAAATTTAACTCAAGGAGTTAGGTCTGGAGTGGAGTTGTAGAGCTGCCTAAACCCAGCTCTACAACTTTAGTTCATTTTGTGAAAGAGCTCCACCCAGCTCCACTCCCATTTTTTGTGGAGCTGGAACTGTTTGGCTGAGCTCCAGCTCCAGGAGGGATGGAGCTGTGCCAATTAGGCCTCTTGTCTATATTCATTGTACCCCTCCATTATACACCTTCTAAGTTGAGTTTTTTTCTGACGGAGGGAGCAGTAATTATTATGAGTTCACATCTACTACTCCATACTAGTAATTATCACTATTTTGCTCGATGATTAATCTAATCCTGCATGTCGATGTCACCTGACCCTTTCAAAATGGCTGCATCTACAACTTTGATATAATTTATTTCCATCAAGGTTGGGAAATGTTCTGAGTTGACTTTATCATAAGGGCCTGCTTATATGCGATTTGGCATATTTTCCAGACAAAAATAGTCAATTTTTACGTACTCCCTCCGTTTCACAATGTAAGTCATTCTAGCATTTTCCATATTCATATTGATGCTAATGAATCTAGACATATATATCTATCTGGATTCATTAACATCAATATAAATGTGGAAAATACTAGAATGACTTACATTGTGAAACGGAGGAAGTACATGATTAACAACAAATTGTAACATAAAAAGAATATCAAGCAATAAAAATCATTAACATAATCCTAATGTATTTGTCACCTAATATCACAAGCAAATCTAAAAAAGTTAGTGTAAATGCATTTAATATTACAAACAAATCATCATAATAGCTATGATGTAATTTCTCTATTTACCATTTTATGCTTTTACTTTCTTCCATCTCCTATGACGCACAAGGAAATGTTCATATACCTTGGTGATTCAACATATATAACCCTCAATAAAATAATTATATCACTACTGGAGAAGTGATCTTTAGAAGGTCGGGTGATTTCCACAATAGTCCCGGTTCCAAAAAAAACCGGGACTAAAGTGGTTTATTAGTCCCGGTTCTTAACTTCAACGGGACAAAGGGATACTAACCGGGACTAAAGGGTTCGCCCCCTGACAGGGCATGTCAGTCCCCTGTCGGGGGGCTGGGGAACTTTAGTCCCGGTTGTTATTACCAACTGGGACTAAAGATGGATATTTACTCCTGGGTATTTGAACCGAGACTAAAGACTGTCATCTTGAGTCCCGAATTCTCTCTCCCGGTTCGCTACCCGGGAGTAAAGGGGGTTGCGAACCGGGAGAGATGCTCCTCCAGTAGTGTATCCTTCACAACTAGTTATGACCGCCAAGATAATATTGGCGGCTTTGTTTATTTGGCCGCCAAAAAAAAATCTTGGATTCTTGTAGTGACACAACTTCACTATTTTGGCACTGAAAAAGCAGCTTGGTTCCCGTCGCGGTAGTGAAAAAAATACGTGAGTTCACGTTAATGAAGTAGAAAAGAGATAGTGGGTTTTCTCGTAGTTATAACTTTTTTCTAGGATATCCAGCTCCTCAAACAGTGTAGATTCTCATCTAAATTTTTAAAATATATAGTTATAGAATCCAGAGATAAACTATTGGCGGCTTTGTTTATTTGGCCGCAAAAAAAAATCTTGGATTCTTGTAGTGACACAACTTTACTATTTTGGCACTGAAAAAGCAGCTTGGTTCCCGTCGCGGTAGTGAAAAAAATACGTGAGTTCACGTTAATGAAGTAGAAAAGAGATAATGGGTTTTCTCGTAGTTATAACTTTTTTTTAGGATATCCAGCTCCTCAAACAGTGTAGATTCTCATCTAAATTTTTAAAATATATAGTTATAGAATCCAGAGATAAACTATTGGCGGCTTTGTTTATTTGGCCGCCAAAAAAAAATCTTGGATTCTTGTAGTGACACAACTTCACTATTTTGGCACTGAAAAAGCAGCTTGGCTCCCGTCACGGTAGTGAAAAAAATACGTGAGTTCACGTTAATGAAGTAGAAAAGAGATAATGGGTTTTCTCGTAGTTATAACTTTTTTCTAGGATCTCCAGCTCCTCAAACAGTGTAGATTCTCATCTAAATTTTTAAAATATATAGTTATAGAATTCAGAGATAAACTAGAGACTATAATTTTAGAAACCTAGTTTTTCTAAATTATAAGAAGCTGGTTACTAATCCATTGTTTCTCATAATCTTAAGCTCCCTTGTCACTAGGAGTTAAAACTCCCTCGTGACTAGGAGTTATACTAGAAATCAGCGTGGACACAACTCAAACCATGGAGACTTCCGTGTACTAAAGGCCAAGGAATACACGAATCTCGACTTACGTCATCGGATAGATGAAAAGTCAACTGTTTTTGAGCCAAAAATGTGGGAAGACTTGTACAAACTACACATTTTTATTACCATCCCAACATGGCTAGGTATTATTATGGCCGGTTACTAGTACAAACTACAAACCAAGCATTATAAGGCTGTGTTCGGTAGTGTGTTTGGCTTTTACAACTGACT